AGTTCAAAGCAGCATGGGCTACATGGTGAATTCAAGCCAGGCTGAGCTACACAGCAAGATGCTGTCTCAAAAAAAGCTGACAAGTATGGCTCAAGAAACTAAATAAGCAATGGCACACACTTGTAGTCCCCGCTACTGGGGAGGCGGGAAGCTGAGACTGGAGGGTCTCAAATCAGATCACAGCTTGAGCAACACGGCAAGACCCCTGTCTTAAGAAAGAACTGAAAAAAAGGATACCAACTAAACATGAATGTGGTCACTTAAACATGGAAAATCGGAGCTTTGTAAATATTTGCCTTTCGATGTAGTAAAGCATAATTTCAGCGTGTTTTGCCTTGCTTGGGTCATCTTCAAGCAGTTCTTCAACAATGCCTTGATCACCTGTAAATATCGAAAGGATCATTATATTTGAGGTCATTTCTCTATAGAAAATAATAAACATACACTGCAATAGTAACAATTATATAGCTTTGATTTCAAATAATAACAATCTCTTCCTAAACTAAGTGGCCTCCCTGTCACTTTCCTCTGTGTTTTCAGGTATTTCTCTTTAGCTCACTAAATCTGTTCTTTACCAACAATCAGCCAGCTATGGAAGTAAGAAACCTAAACAGTAACAGAGAACTAATAGAGTTTTCTTTAAACTCAGCTTAGGAAAACCTCATTTTTTAAGCTTTTGGGGTAAAAATGTTTTAAACTGTTTGTGCTAATTAAAAAAATACAGACAAGCCCGGCATAATGTCACATATCTATAATCCTAGGTACTTTAGAGGCTGAGGCAGGAGGATCACAAGTTCAAGGGTAGGCTTGGTAACTTAGTAAGTCCCTTCCACAAAATGTTTAAGAAGGGGAGGGAGTTGGGGGATGTTGTTCATTGACGGAGTGCTTGCCTGGCATGTACAAGGCCCTGGGTTCAATCTCCAGCACTGGGGAAAAAAAATTCGCAGATAGATAGATAGTCAGACAGACAGACACATTACCATTTAAACCTTTGGTTATCTGAATTTGGTCCATGAAGTCTTGAAATGAGCTGCTCATATCAGATTTTACCCATGAAGTAAGTGCATGTGAAACAATCTGCAGTCTTTGGTAACTATAAAGACAAAAGGCATCAACAACATATTGAGCTTAAAATCAAATGGTGGAATATGAAAATAAATACAAATAAAACCATCAAACTTTATATAATCAACTTTCATACCGAAACTGTAATTCTTTGTTCAGATTTTCTGCTACATCTCTCCGCTTTAATAACACAATCATTTCCTCATCTAAATCAGCCTTCTTTTGAGCTGGTATATATTTTACCAACATAGCTTGTTTAATTTCTACATACTTATCTTCAAGATGTTTCATATATTTACAGAGAGCATCTAGACTGACAGATTCTTGGAGAGTCATACCTATGGACATTTGACACTTCTTCCATTAGATCAAATCTTGCTTCCTCAAATGTCCATGTATTGATTCTGCCTCTGCATAAAAACTCACCACGTATCTTAACCCCCTGTTGGGGACCACAAATTCACAATGGCTAGTTTTACATACTTCCCTAAAGGAGGAAATTGAGGCTTTGGATTATTGGTACCACCCTTTTGGGATTTCCCATTATTCCATTAGGGGTAGGCCATTCTCTTCCACCTACTTCCAAGACTAAGACTAAGACTAAAACTACTAAGACTAAAGACACCCCAGGGCAAGATCTATGAGTCATTCAATAATCCCTTCCTCAATCAATAAATGCCCAGGTTCTGGCTGCCTCATGGCCTTTTTTGTTTCTCATGAACTGGTCATCCTGGAGCCTTGCTGTGCCATTTTGTCTCTTGTTCTCTTTCTTTCTCTTTCTTCCCTTCTTTTCTTCCTTTCTACCTTCTTTCCTTCCTTCCTTCCTTCCTTTTTTCTTTCTGCTGTGCACTGTAATACCTGGCAGGGGATTGGGGCTCACTGCAGGGGTGTCTGATACACACACACACACACACACACACACACAGAGTACTAGGGACTGAACCCAGAACTTTTCCACTGAGCTATGTCAACCCTCCCCCTCTTTTTTGAGACAGGATCTTGCTAAGTCACTAAATTGCCTAGGCTGGGCTTGAATTTGCAGTCCTCTGGCCTCCAGTATCTTTAAATTTTGAATATCACTATCTATTCTCAAAGGCTTTATTTTTCCATGGAAAATATTTGCAACTCCTCTAGGCATTCATCATACAAACTTCTTCCAATCCCGGATAAATTCCAGGATATACTCCAATTTCTTAAAATGTGGTAAAAGTGTTATACTAGTGTGTGGAAACAATGAATGCTAACATCAACGTGAATCAATAATAGTCCCCCAAACTTAATGCTCTACAGTTTTTCCATACTATACCCTGGAGTTCTCAAACTTCAGAGTATATCAAAATAGCCAGGACTTAATAAAACACCACAGTTAGACTCAATCACCAAGTTTCTGACACAGTGAGTCTGCAGTGAGGTCCAATACTTTGTATTCTAACTGGCTCCCAGGTGATACTTAATACACAAACCATACTTAATTCAGCCAAACTGGAACCATGTGACCTTTTAGGACTGTTTAAAGTTTTCTATTTCCTGTGTATCAACCTAAAAACTCTGACTAAATTTATTTGTACAATGTATAACTGGAAAGTACACACAAAACATTATTAATTTGTAACAGGTAATAACTGGAAACAACTGTGATTTTGTGTAAATATTTAAAATGAGATACGGGGCTGGGGATTTAGCTCAGCGGCAAAAGCACTTGCCTGGCAAGCGCAAGGTCGTGAGTTC